GGGTGCTTATCATACATGCATGTATATATATGTAATGCAGACCACACCCCTAAGGAAATACCCTTAATAACTTATTGGTTGATCACATTAGATTACATCATGGAGAATGATTGCATCATATATAACTGTCAAATTATATCATTACATAACTGCCAAACTACATTATTCCATATCACTGAGAATCATGGCCGAGCCAAATTGACACACAACCTTAACCATCACTATGACAAATTGTACCTGTTGCAGATCGTATCAGGAACATGGATCTTCAGATCTTCTGCAACTTTTCTCATCTCCCTCTGATACCCAGACATTTCATCTTTGACATACTTAGGATTGTTTCTCATTAAGTATTCCCCCAGAAAATTAATCGGGTCAAACTTGGCTGCAGTATCAACTTCTTCAAAAAGCTTCTTCTTTTCTCCTTGCATTAACGTTTTTTCTATTCCAGGAACTAAGGTGGGTAGGAGTTTGTCAAGCAAATACGCCCTTGTACTCAGTGTAGTCTTTTCATTATTAAACCACTCTTCAGCCAAATAATCCTTAAGGAGTTTCTTTTCAGCCTTTTTTTCTAGCTCCTTCTTCAGATTATCTTTGTCTATTATTTTCTTCTGCATTGCCTGGGCTCTTGCTTCTACTCTTTGGAAAAGGTTTTTCTTCCATGGTTGTTCTAGCTTTGAATTCTCTACAGCTTTATCTAAACTGAACAATACTTTTGTAGATCCTTTAACAGCAGTCTCTGCAACTGTAGTCTTAGAGTCCTTTACTGAACGATTTGGCTGCCACTCCAGGTTTAATTCTGAAGAAGAAGAAGAAAAAAAAAAAAAAAAACAGGAGGGAAAAAATAAGATGTGAAATGTAAGGAACATTAGAAGTAGAATTTATGGTGTTACTAGGCCAAGATGGTGGACTAAGAATAAACATCCATATTCCCTCTCTACCAAAATCACCAGAAGTGACAGAAAAGCTAAGAAGCTTTTGTTGTTATTGTTATTTAAATGTATCTATAAGAGTACTAGAATTTAAGAAGAGGCATTCATAAGTCAGAAATGTTTAGGAATCTTTGAAAAATGGAAGGCAGATATGATTAGATTGATTTGTGTATGTGTGTGTGTGTGTGTGTGTGTGTGTGTGGACAATCTATAAAATGCACAGAAGGAAACTACTATGAATTTGGGAGCAACTATATGAGGCATCTTTACAAACTTAAAGGACACAGATATTGGTAGTAGGAAATGACCAATAATTGAGCTAAACATCAGGCAACAGAGGCACTGTAGGTGTTTGGCTAGACAGGCAGCATGATGTTTATAAACACACCCCAAAAAAAGAACTGTCTGTACATCTTACCCCTTCTCTATAGTCACTGGACGCAGGCTACAGAATACAGAAACTGCATCCACAGAAAAGTAAAAGAGATCCTTTGTTGTTGTTTTTAAATGTTTTATTGTGAATTATGTGATAGCTTACATGGGAGAACATTAGTCTTACATTCATCCTGTCGTATATCATTTCATTGCTATGGTTACAATCCCCTCCATGCATCATCAACCAACCAAAGGGTATACACTACAAGCCTGTCCCCGGTCGTCAGCACACAGCCCCTCTCCCTCTCTGGGTCTAAAGTCCCCCAAATGCTCCATCTCTCCACGTCATCGTCTCTGCCTCCATCTCAGGCATCACTGCTTCTCTGGGTAGGGTCCCGCTCTCCACTCTTCTCCCTTGATGGTCCCAGGGACCTCCGCTCCTGGACTTAAAAGTTAATCACTCCCCTCCTTGCTACAAAACGTCTACCTTTACATTTCCAACCCTTACAAGCAGTCCTGATAACAATTATTCACTATTGTATCATAAGAGACCCATCTGCATTTTATTTCATCAGCCCCACCCAGACAGATTGTATACTACTCAGTGGAGATTCTACCTTCTTCCATGCTCTCTGAATCTAGGTTCCCTCTTGAAAGCTTGTAAGCCAGTCACTTCTTGCCTTCGTAGTGCCCCCCCCCCCCTTTTTGGGAACCCAAATCCAAGGTGCCCCTTCCCGTTTTCCCCTGTGAAGGGGGGAGGTGGGAATGATCCTTGCTGTAAGGATTTGTTCCCTCTTTTGAGCTACTGCATCCATAGGTGTAGGTCAAGTTCATCAAATTGTATCAGATTACTAAAAGAGATTTTTAAATGCAAATGCATGCACACATATGAGAATCCCTAACTATTTAAGGAAGACCATATCTTTGTGTCTAAATTCAAAGAATGCAATAACTAGTACTTTTGAGGAAATTGTGTCCATACATAGTACAAATGTAAGGGGTCTCTAAAAGAACGTAATTAATATCCTCAGAGCAAAGAAATTAAAGGAAATAACAAAAATATCACGAATGTTATGAAAACAAAAACAGGGATCCTTGGTAAACCCTGATGCTAGGACTAGAGCAAGACATTTACAAAATGAGCCTGGAGCATCCTGTAGTGCCAGAGAGTAAGAGAATGCTCAAAATACACACACAATAAATTGGGATA